TGGTTAAACTTCGTTTAGTTCACATTCACGTCGCCGGCCTCTCTCCCTTGAACTGCTTTAGCGGTTTAGGCCATTATTTTTCTAATTTTATCTTTAATTTTTCTTCCCTTCTGTTATCCCCCAACAGTAAAAATTCCTGAAAGGAACGCTGACAGGCTAATTGTACAGTCAGTAATTTTCCTTCGGCAGCCATTCGTTCGAGCACGGCTCTCGCTGCCTCCCGGGCCGGGCTGTGCCGCGCTGGGCAGAGGCTCCCGGCCAGCGGGGCACGGCGCGGCCGCGGCGGGGAGCGATCGCAGCGGCTCCGGAGAACGGGCAGAAGTTGCTTTTCGGCACTTCGGCCTAAACCCGCACCCACGACCACCGCCCCGGGCCCTGGGACAGCCCGCTCTGCGCACCCCACTTGCGGGTTTGGGCCAGGACGAGGGTCCGGCCCTGGGGCCGTGCTCCCCTCGAGGTGTTCCCGCAGAGCCGCCGCACACAGGGCAGGGCACAGGCGGCACAGCCGGGGCGCGGTTAACGCAATGCTCCCGGGGCTCTCGGAACTTGCCATCTGCAAGCGCTTCAGGTAAAAGCCGAGGCGAGGGCAGGGTAAAGCTCTGGGGGCTGGGAAGAGGCGCTGACTCGGCAGGGAGGTCTGCGCTGGAGCTGGGGACCGCGAATCGACCACCAGCGGCTGTTCCTGCAGAACTCCGTGAGACATAGCAGGAATCACCCCGAAAAGCTAACGAAAGAAAGGCACCGACTGGGGGAAAGGGTCGGAGAGCTCAAGCATCCCGGAGCGAGCAGGGCGAGGCGAGGCAGATCGGTGCTGGCTGGCCGGGGCAGGGGTGATGCCACACAGGCACCGGCCCCAAACGCACCTGGAGGAGCGGTGCTCTTCTCCGGCAGAGTCGACACCTTTGCAAGAGTTCTAAAAATATATATATTAAATTAAATAGGTGTGTTGTCACTGAAGGGAAACCAGTGCCTTAGCCATGGGGCTTTCACCAAGGCAGCCAAGTTCCCTTTTGGGCAGAGCAGAGTCTCGAAGTCTGCTTGACATCTTGAAGCTTAAATAACCGTAAGGCATTGTTACTCCCTGGCAGCAAAGTGCCTCGTTACGCCTGATTGAGCTAATTGCTTTGAAATAGGATATATTATCTATAATTATAGAGATCTTGGAGGAGACGGCCAGCCTTTTCTTTCATCTTTTCCAAGTGCATCATAATGTCGCGATCAAATTAATTTAGGCCACTTGAAATAGTGCCTTCCTTTCAGCCCGACTCCTCCGACCCTCAAAGAGCCGGGGACGCCTCGGCGACTGGAGTTTGGCCATCCAAACAGCTCCTGGTGACCTCCTGAGGACCAGTCCCGGTCTCTGGAGCCTTGGAAGTAGTTTGGGTTATGTTTAATCTGAACAGAAAGAAGTAGGGAGAAAGAGAGAGAGAAAGAGAAAAGGAAAATAAAGGGACAGGATAGGAAAAACCAAAAAAAAAAAAAAAAAAAAAAAAAAAAAAAAAAAAAAAAAAAAAAAAAAAAAAAAAAAAAAAAGAACTGAGGTGTTTTCCCATTTTGCCGACACTCGGAAATCAGCGACGAAATCGGGGAGGGCTTTGAGCACTTGAAGGGTTTTGAGGGCTTGTAAAGCCCGCGGGACATTTTTAGCACTTGCGACAGTTCTGGTTCTTTGCCCCCAGGGCTGAGTCTAGCAGAGATGAAGCCGGGCTGCTGAAGGGCGCGCAGGGAGCGCGCAGGGAGCGCGCAGGGAGCGCGCAGGCGGTGCCCGGCGCAGCGGAACTGCCCCGGAGCTGCCCGTCCCCAAAGCCGGCTCGTGTCCTGCGGGACTGTCTGGTCTCCTAAGGGCTGCTGTCTCGGGAGAAATAAAGTAGAAACAAGGGAAACAACAAACATCCCTCTCCTTTCTGAGTTCTGCCTTTAAGTCTAAGATAACGTTTACAAAAGGCAGACAATGCCCTGAATTGGCTTAGCGCTGCCTCCTGTCCTTTCTTCCCATCCCCCACGCACTCCTCCCAGCCCTTGTTGTATTCCCACCGAAATAAAATGCTATGGGTAATGGCTTTGCCTAGCACATTCATTATATTGAAACGGGACTGTTTAAGATGCTAATTGCCCAATATTGTTATCTAGCACAACTGCCTTCAGGGAAACGCCACAGCTCCCAATAAAAACACGGGACTGGAACAAGCTCCAATAAAGTCACCTATTTCCCTCTGCCCTTTCACTTCGATTTTTCCTTGCAGCCCAGGGCGGAACATAAGAGAGGCACCTAAAAGCAAACAAGAGTATCAACAACATGAAACGGGTTCTAAAAAATTTCCTAAAATCCAGTGCTGTTTTGGTCACCCAAAGTGCAGTAAGCAAGGGAGGAAGAATTTGGAAACTAAAAATTTCCCGCTGAACACAGAAGTAGATCTTGAGGGAGATTTCGTTTTGCAGATTTATTTTCTCCATTCCTAACTTAACACTTGTAGATTTCATTAAGAAAGAAGGGAAAGAAAAAATGAGCAAGAAACGAAAGAAACTTTACTGGCATCTCGTTTTCAGCCAAACAGATGAAAAACCAGCATATGAATTAGAATCAAGTCCTTGCTGTAGTGATTGCTACAGTGATTGAAATACCAGCGAGTATGACAGAAATGTAAACACAAAGCGCTCATTGCTGGGAGATAAATAAAGAGCTAATTATCTCATTCTGTCAACTCTAAATGAGAGCAGGATCGCGCTCCCGGTATGGGACGCACACGCATCTCTTCAAACCTCAGCAACGTCCCAGTGTTCAAATCATTGTGCAAAAGAAGAGATGAGAGGGGGGAAAGCCAGCAGCTCTAACTATAATTTTCATATTTCCATCAAACAACGAGATTGAACTCAGCCCAGGGGCTGCCTCGAGGTCCAATAAACACATCACTTCTTCTTTTTCATGGTTAAGTTTGGATTCAGGGAAAAAATAATAATAATTTAAAAACTCAAGCAAAACAAGATCCTACCTGTAGGATCGGGTGGAGGGGACACCGTGACACGATGCATCGATATATGTGCGTGTTTTCCTAGTCGGGGGTGGGATGGGGGGGTGCATCTTCGAGACGAGTACCGGGCTTTGGGAAAATGTCGTGTGATTGGTAGAGCAAACTAATTTTGTCAGGCTGAATGTGCCGATGTCCCAGGGCTAAGGCGCCTTGCTCCCTTGATGCGGGTTAACGTCCTCAATAGTCCCCCTCCAGCTGAAGCCTTTGATCAGACCGCTGCTGGCGCCTAAAAACAACATCACTTGTCTGCCTATTAGAGGCACTGTCTAATCGTGACAGATTGTTTATTCTCGCAATTAGCAATGCGGCCGCTTCTCCCGGCACCCCCCACCCCCTCTCCCCGTCGCGGCCCGACCCGGCCCCCCGGCCCGATGGGGCGCGGGGGAGGCTGCGGGCAGGGCGGGCACCGGCCCCGGCCCCGGCCCCGGCAGCGGAGCCGGCGGGGCGCGGAGCCGGCCGGGCTGGGCGGCGGCACCGCTGCTCCCGCCTCGCAGGAGCGCTCAGCGGGGCGGCACGGCGCAGGAGGGCAGCTGGAGGTACCAACGTGAGCTGTATGTGTGTGCAAAGTGCGCTCACCTTCATGTATAGGAATCTGCGGGAGTAGCCCGCAAACCGCCTGCAGATCACCCCCGCGGGTGAGAGGGACCATCCGTGAGCAAAGCACAGGCGGGAGGCGGGTGTGATGTACGCGCAGAACACGGGAAACACCCCGCTAGGGTATGTGCTCACGCGTGTGCGAGATAAGTGTGTGGAGCTGCGCGCAGGACAATATTCATTTCCATCAGATCCTGTTGCTTATCAGTTAATAAAATGTCTATTGTATCAATTCATTTCATAATCTATATGCTCCTAATCTACCATCTTTATAGAGTCCAGTTAAAAGGAAAGGGAATTCGCTGTCCCTCCCTGTTTAGATAATTGCCCTTAAATGACTGCAAGAGGCTCTTGTGTTCCGAGGAGATTAGAGCCCTGCAGCTATCAATAAACTTTTCTCAGCGAGCGGCCAATCCCGTTATTAGAGAGCGGCTCCGTTTTACTGCACATCCGTCCTGGGCGCCGGGATAAGGGATCGTAAAACGAATTAACAGAACAAAATACCGGGACTTTAAGGGCTCAGGGGCTTGTATGTTCCTTTTTAAGTGGGCGAATATTTCGTTATCTGAAGACACGCACACATCTACGCCATAAGAAGTAGCTCAATCATGCGTCGTGTATGCGCATATACATGTATATAAACGCAGATCACCACAGTCACATCGAACACACCGCAGGGCCGGCGATCATGTAAAAACCGAATCAAACATACAAACAAAAAAACCCCAAACAGAACAAAACAAAACAAAATCCACAAGAAAAAAAAATCCCCAAAAAACTCAAAAGGGCGGCGGAGCGGGCAGGGTCTCCTTCCCTTTGAGAGGTCACACTCGGGACAGCTCGGTATCTGCTAGTTTTGCAGAAGAACGCGCTCGGGCTCGCTGCCTCGCGCTTTACGAACAGAAAGGCCGGTGTTTTTTCCGACGTTAATGCGTTTTTCCCCGAGCTTTGAGCCTTCCCCTGACCACAGCGGAGGGCTGTGCCGGCTGCCCGGCCTCCTGCTCTCCGCGCTGAGACGAGCGCTGGGCGCGGAGCGGGCCCGGGGGACGCGGAGCGGGCCCGAGCGCTCCGGGCGGCGGGGCGGGCGGGGCGCGCGGGGCGGGCGGGGCGCGCGGGGCGGGCGGGGCGGGCGGGGCGCGCGGGGCGGGCGGGGGCCCGGCCCCGCCCCCCGCGCGCCGCCGGGCCGCAGCCAATGGGGCGGCGCGGCCCCGCCCCCGCGCGCCGGCTGGGCGGAGCCGGCGCGCGCCGCTTTATGAGGCGGCGGCGGCGGCGCGGGGCCGGAGCGCGCTGCCGGCTGCCCGCGCCCCCCGGCCCCATGAGCGGCGGCGCCGCCCGCTCCCGCCCGGCGCTGCGGTGGCGACGGCCGGCAGCCCCTGTATGGCCCCGGCTGTGGATATGACCGCCGCGCCCACCGGGGTCCGCAGCGACGAGCTGCCCGCATCCGCCTTCAGCAGTCCCGGTGGCGGCGCGCTGCCCGTCGCGGCGGCGATGGGCGGGGAGGAGGAAAGCGACAAGCCCAAGGTTTCCCCGTCCCTCCTGCCGTTCAGCGTGGAGGCGCTCATGGCCGACCACAGGAAGCCGGGAGGCAGGGACGGGCCCGAGGGCGCCGGGCCCCCGCCGGGCGCTGGGGCGGCCAGCCTCAGTCCCCGGCTGGGCGCGCTGTCGGCGGAGGCGCCGCCGTCCCCGCTGCCCCTCGGCGGGCACTTCGCCGTCGGGGGGCTGGTCAAGCTGCCCGAGGACACGCACGTCAAGGCGGAAAGCCCCGAGAAGCAGGAGCGCAGTCCCTGGATGCAAACCCCGCGCTTCTCGCCGCCTCCCCCGAGTAAGTAATGGTCCGGGGGCTCTGCGGGCCGGCCGCGATCTCCCGTGGGGCCGGGCGGACCGAGGGCAAGGCTGCGCGGGTGGCGGGGCTTTCCTGTCGCTTTCGCCCTGCCTGCCTCTCCTGGTGTATTTTTCGTGCGGTTCGTACTCTCCTGGGCCAGTTTGATCGGTCTAAAGTACTGAACCGATTCGAGAGTTCGTGGAGGATGGCTGCGAAGGCGCAGGAAGAGCGGCCGTGCCAGGGTTGAAATTTTGTGCCAAATGTTAGCCGGGGGAGGGGGAAGAAAAAGCAACGTGGCCAGCCTGTTAATTTAACCTGGGGCTCGAACTAGGTACTTAAGATTTGACTCAACATCACTGAGGCTCTCCTCAGAAAGTGGCTCAAGTTATTCCGTAAGGATGCGCACAGACCGCGCGGCAGCTTTGCGGACTTCAGCCCCACGGGCTGGCGTCTTAAATGGTGCATGTCCAAAGTCCGAAGAGGCACAATTAGTGATGCTTTCCTGCTTTAATGCAGAGAGATCTAAATTAGTACAAATAACAGCGTGGGAGCCGAGGTCAGAGAAGGCCGTTAATTTCCAGGGGCTGCGCTGCGCCCGGATCTGGGCAGCATGGGCCGGCTGCCCTCGGCCTGGCCCCGCTCCCTTCCTGCCGGGGATCCCTTGGAAGTGGATGACCTTAGTCTGAGGCTCTCCAAGCGTTTGGGGTGTCCTTAGCAAAGCTGCAAACAAGAGCTGCCCCTCTGTCCCGAAAACGGCAGGTTTCCCGGCAGGATTTGTGTAAAGCAAAGCAGCGGTTTAATTTATTTAAATTGCAAAGTAAAATTTGCTGTTGCTAAGTAAACCCGGGACAGCTGGATGTTGAAGACCCTTAGAAATGTTAAAGAGGAGAGGAGCAGACCAGTGGAGAGTGGTAGATAGAGCATGAGTGTCAATTCAGACCTCGTAATTAATTACATGCTTAATCCGGTTCCCAGGGGCCTAATGAAGAAGGGTGTGCGACTGAGAAGCCAGTCCGTTTTTTTTTTTTTTGTTTCCTGTAATCCAATAAAAAAACAGGATTTGTTTCTTCGTTTTGGAGGGCCATTCCCTTTATTTGCGTCTCCTCTTCATAAGGCAGGAGATGCAGAGTTTTTGGGTGTCTCATTCCTGCCCATTGCTGGGTTCTTTCAATGGAGTCAGAGCTTTATAATATGAAGCACCGTTCTCTTTTTTTAGAAAGGCAGACGGCAATTTTGAGTGTGCCCCAGGCAATCCTGGTGGTTTTGGGGTACCTTGCTTTCAAGTAGGACCCTATCTCTCCCTTTCTCCACCTCAGCTGTGGTAGGGTGGGGGCTCTGCAGGCTGTGGGGTTTTGGGCACTGCTAACCAAGGTGTCTCTCCTTTCCCCTCTTCCCCGGCTGCTCCCGGGTACAGGGCGACTGAGCCCGCCCGCCTGCACCCTGCGCAAGCACAAGACAAACAGGAAGCCCCGGACGCCCTTCACCACGGCACAGCTGCTGGCCCTGGAGAGGAAGTTTCGGCAGAAGCAGTACCTGTCCATTGCCGAGCGTGCCGAGTTCTCCAGCTCGCTCAGCCTCACGGAGACCCAGGTGAAGATCTGGTTCCAGAACCGTCGCGCCAAGGCCAAGCGGCTCCAGGAGGCCGAACTGGAGAAGCTGAAGATGGCAGCCAAGCCCATGCTCCCGCCTGCTGCTTTTGGCATCTCCTTCCCACTGGGCGGCCCGGCCGTGGCTGGCGCTTCTCTGTACGGCGCCTCCAGCCCTTTTCAGCGGGCAGGGCTGCCCGTGGCTCCTGTGGGACTATACACAGCACATGTGGGATATAGCATGTACCACCTCACATAGAGCCAGAGCCGAGCCCAGCCCAGGACTGCTGACTGTCTGCTCCCTCTGGCTCCACACACACTCCCTCCCTGCTCCTCTGGCTCTCCTCTGTGGACTTCCCCATGGAGCCTATGGCAGAGGCTCCTTCCGTTTGGCTCTGCTTGACCTCTCTGCTTCCCCCTCTGATGCTGAGCCCTTATCCCAGCACTGTTCTGGTCTCCTCAGCAGTCCTGGGGAGCTGGCAGAAACCTGAGGCATTGCCCCAGCTTTTTCCAGGTGCAGGGTGGTGATGGGCCAACTGTGTCCTGCTTCTCTGGGTCTGGCTGGCAGCCTGCAGACAGCCCCCTGCCTCAGGGGAAGGAACTGTGGAAGAGATGGAAAAAGGGGACTGAAAGACAGGATGTTACTCTTACTTTTCTGCAAGGCGAGGTCAAGAGAAGTGTAATACAGCCTTTCCCATTCCCATGTAACAGTGCTGTCTGTTACCTTCTTTGCTCCTCCACCAGCTCCTTTGGAAGGGGCTCTGTGTACTATGTAATATACTGTATATTTGAAATTTTATTATCATTTATATTATAGCTATATTTGTTAAATAAATTAATTTTAAGCTACTGTTTTATGTAATTTGTTTGCTTGCTCTTTGCCCTCTCGGGTGTGACAGAAGAGACCGAATTTGTGTATCAGGAGATGAGAGAGGGACCGGCTATTTAGTAACTGTTTTCCCTCTTCTCCAGGGGGCTTCAGCCTTGGGTGGTGAGACATCAGCTGAGTTTTCAATTTTCTGTGTCTCCCAGAGCTGCCCTGTCCTCACAGCTGTTTGAGGTTTCCTCCTTTTCCCCCACTGCTCCTTGCCAGCAGTTCTTTCCACATTCCTGCCCCGAAGGTGCATGTGATCGCCGCTGCTTCCCCCAGCGGCGCCGGGATCGGCCGTGTTTCCTTGGCCCGAGGAAAGAGAAAAGTTGCTCCTCTCCCTGCCTGTGTCTGGGAGGGTGCCGGCCGCAGCTCCCGCTGGCTGTGAAGAGTGTCCCACACCTCAGTGCCAAGCTTAGCGCGAAGGGCTTTCCCCAGAGCTCCGTTTGCCGGCCGGTATTACTCGGGGGGAACGGAGCACCGGGAATTGGGCGGTGGGGAGGAGAGGGGCCTGTCGCGGTTCGGCTGGTGCTGAAGAAGGGGACAAAGGGCGCTAATGGCGAGGCGGTGTCAGCACCGGAGCCGCTGGGGCGTGGGGCCGATGGTGCTGGGCACGAGTGCGGGCCCGGCGGCCGGTGGCCCCCGCGGGACTGACGGTCGGGACCGCTCGGCGCCGTGTCTCCTGCTCGCCCTCAGGCTTTCGAGCACCCTGCCGTTCTCAGCGGCTGGCCCTGCTAGAAACCCGGCCCGGTCGCCCACGGCCCCGAGGAAACCGCTGGCGACGGCTGAGAAGCCCGCGGAGGAAATCGGCGGACACGCAGCCCCGGCTCCGCGCCTGCCGATCCCGCCAGCACCGGCGCCGCCGCCTCGCCGCGTTCCCCGCCGGCTGCGCCCTGAGCCCGCTCAGTGCGCCGCTCCACCCGCTTTGGTTTGACGAATCCCTCGGGTAAGGGAGAGCGTTGGTTTCCTCTTTTCTTTATGTATTTTTTTCTTTTTTTTTTTTCTTTTTCTTTTTAGTTTCGTGCTTTATCTTTGTACTCAAGGAATGGCGGCTGAGAAATTAAGGACTCTGTATTTTTCTTTCTGTCTTTCCCCCCCACCCCCCACCCCACTGCTTTCATTTCCAGCAATTTAAAACGTTAAGGTTGAAGCAAAGTTAGAAGGAAAATAATTGCTGTAATGAGGCTCGGCAATCTTCTGCAGGCACTGTGGCTCCAGCGAGACTGTAGCTGGGGGCGAGGCAAGACTTTTATCATCTCCTAAGTATCAATGATGCTTTCAATAACTCAGCGAAACAACATACCTGAACACAGTCACTTTCTCCAGAGCTCGCTGCTCTAATCCCCCTTCTCTCGCTCCGCTCTGGTCGCCCAGTCATTTTTGAGCTGGGGTGAGTTTGGGGCTTTTGTGGTTGTTTGTTTTCTTTTCTTGCTTTTTTTTTCCCTCTACTTTTTTCCCAACCCTTTTCTTTTCCTCTCATTTCTTTTCTCTGTGCAAATGACAGTGTCTGTGATTCTGACCCCAGCGCCCAACGCCGCGCCGGAGCGGGAAGGCTCTGTGCCGACTTTTTCCCACGTTGTGTCTCTGGCAGAAAAAGGCTGGATATCTCCAGCTTATCGCTCTAACTTAGCCTCTGCGCGATTAGACCGCGGGTTTGGGGAGATCTAATCGCTCAGGAGGCCCGGTTTATCCTGTAAAGATGCCCTTAAAATCCGACAGAGATTTTAAAAAGGGAGGACTGCCTTGAGCTGGCTCCCCGCAAACACTGCTCCCCTTTGCCGGCACCTTTGGGCGCTGCGGCGCGAGACTCCGGGCAGAGCGGCACCCTTTAATCTCTCCGCTTTGTCTCTGTTTGATTTTTTTTTTTTTTTTTTTTTTTTTTTTTTTTTTTTTTTTTTTTTTTTTTTTTTTTTTTTTTTTTTTTTTTTTTTTTTTTTTTTACATTATGTTAACTCGGGGTGGATATTCGAAGCGCAGGATTCCTATTGAACATGTCTTTGCTTTAAGTTTTCCCCCTGACCCTTGGGCTAAAGTCCTTGGTTGCTCAATTAAACCCAGATGAGAACAATTAATAACTAAGTAATGACAATAAGTTGGGAATCACACGGATGAACGCTCCATGTGAATAGGAAAAGCTCACACAAAAGAGCAAAAAGGATTTGTCGGCTCTTTTTAAGGGGGAATTGGCTTTTCTTTTTTCTTGCCTCTGGCTTACCAGCAAATAAAACTCACTTTTGTGTCTTTGTCGCCTTAAGGATCTCAGTGGGCAGTTGGAAGTGAGAATGGCTGTTTTCCTTTCAACTTGAGGGTGCTGGCGCCACGCAGCCCCAAGGATAGAGAGTAGCCAAAGCAAAGTTTCCTAATAACTCCCCTCTCCCCCGCCACCCCTCCCCAGTCACGCCGGTACCCCCCTCCCCTCCATGCATATCTCCACATGCACTCCTAGAGAGAGCCTCGGCAGACAGACGAGAGAAAGCAGAGGGGCCCCGAGCACATCCCCGTACCGCCACGGACTCACAGCCGGGGCTGACTGCCGTGGGAAAGCGGCAGTGCCTTGGTGCGACACTTTCCACGGGCCGTAGGAAACACGGCTGGCAGTAGCCGGAGCACGGAGAGGAAGCAAGCACGCGCAGAAACACATACCAAATAAAAGCTGTGTTTTCTACTCTTATTCCCACAAAGGAGGGGAACGGCTCCGTTACCCGTCCACAGGGGCAGCGCCCGGGCGCATCTTCCCGGCGCCGGCTCCGTGCAAGCTCGAGAGCCCCGGCTGGGAGCGCGGCGGGATCGCGCCCGCCTGCGGCTGTGGCAGAAGGGCAGAGCGGCACACGGCGAGGGCTGAGAGCTTAGAAAGCACGGGAAGGCTCTTCTTCAGTTTTAGCTCAGAGAAAGTGACTACCGGGTAAACCTGCTGCGCAAATCGTTGGTTAAACCGTACATTTGTCATCTGCTCTGAATTTCTCGTGGTTTGGGGGCTTCTGTCCGAATTCGCTCTTTCACTCGAAACACGAATCGGTGCCTCGTTGATTACTTTATCGAATGTTTTCCGTAGTGTTCAAGCAAAGTGGGAGCTTAAAATCTTGTTTTCTAAAGTTAGGGCAAGCTAAAGTCAGCAAGTGAGTTAGGCGCAGCAACAGCCTCCTGCTGCTCAGGATTGTGCCTGAGAACAGAACCTTAAGAAATCAGAGGCAAAACAGGGAAGCTGCCTAACTTAGCCATTGTAAAGGCCAGGAGAAGGGGGGGAGGTTGAGTGCTTCTCACTAGTGCTTATAAGCTGAAATCCAGGCTCATCATTTTGTATGAATCTCTTGGGTCACATCAAAACTTTTTCCTAAAAATCTGGGAAATTAAAGGTCTGTTGAACAAACTGGCTGGACCCCTTCAGGAGGAAGTCGGATGCTTGGCACTAACTCCTTGTACTGCCTGAATTTAGGTAAACAGCTGAATTCAGATATTCTATATGCAAAGTGAAAACACCAATCACCAGCTTATTAGAGAGTCAGAGGTAATTGGTCTTCATCTCTTCTAATGATACATCTGATTTTATATTAGACACGGAGGTGGTCAGAGAGAGCAAGAAAAAGCAGCTGTGTAAGCAGTCTTGAGACCAGGACACTCCTCAGAGCAGTCCAAATTAAATCCAGCAGAGTGGTGACTGGTGAGTAAGTCTCCCACTGCCTGGAATATAATATGCTGTACCCAATGAGCTCCTGGATGCAATGAGGTAGTTCACCCACTCTTAATTCTTCAGAAAAAGCAGGCTGATGTGACTTCTGCACCGAACTGTGAGGGAGTCTGTGGCAGAAAGAGACACCTTCTTCGTGCCTTTCATCGTTCTGGCCCTGCTATATATCTATATCTATTTATACCCATATCATCTATATATTCTTTATCTATATATAAATCTATATAATCTAAAGTATATATGTATCTATAGTAGAATATATATATATATTCTAACCCAAGGAGTATGTGGACCTCTGAAATTTTCTTTTATTAGCTTTTAAGTCTCTCCACACCTTATGTGAAGCACAGTGGTGTCTGTCCCTGGCCTGAGCAATCTGTTCCACAGCAGGGAGCCTAAAAATGAGGCATTGCGATAATGGGCATTGCAACACAGCTCCTTGGGGCTGGCCCGAGGCCCCTTCTGCGACACGGACCCATTGTCTGTCCAGCTATGTGGCAGGAGAAGCTGGAGGCAGAACCAGAAGCAACAGCTCTGAATCATTTAACTACGAGTTGTAAATTTTAACATGCTGCACAGAGAGATGTGGCAGTGATTTGCTTACAGCAGTAAACCGATCGACATTAACTCTGCTCCATTGTACTTCTTCATCTCAGAGATCTTTTATCCCTCCAGGCTGGATCCGGTTCCCACCCTGCAGTGATTAAAGGGAAAGCGAGGAGGCAGCTACCTGGACCCAATCTCCCTCGTGCGACCAGGAATGTGCAATAAACCCCCGTGCAAAGCTCTTTTCATCTGGGGAAGTGGCGCAGCTGAGGGAGCCCAGCTCCTCCCGGACCCGATGCCTGGAGCCGGCTCGGTGCTGGCTGTGCCGCGGAGCCCCCTCGGCGCACAACGGTGTGAACAGCACTCTGCATTTCTTCTGGCTTAGAAGAGAAACAGATCTCCTGCGTGTGTCTCAGAGCCATCAAACCTACCCGCTTCAATAGTACAGGCCGTGCCAGAGAGCTGTGAGACAAGCCTTGGGGAGAGAGTTTTGTAGGAGCAATGTTTAAAACCCGGGATTGTTCCTATGTCTATGGTCCATTCTCATGGAAGCTGCGGCAGACAACGGGGCAGTGGGGTCACAGTGATTAGCACCGGACAGACCTGAGGTTCAGGCACCCAGGCACAAAAAGATGCAGCCCAAACTAAATATTCATTTCAGCCTAACTGAGAAATGCTTTTGTTGTGTTTTGTATCGGGCACCCAGCAACGGGCAGGGTGGGTGTGCATGCGATGTATATTGGAGAAAGAGGCA